GTGCTCGCAAGACGGCCAGACTGTGAATTAATGATGAGGAGAAAATGTTAAAGGACAAACGAATGGCCGTCCACCAAGACATAATGAAGCCGGCTGAGCGTGGGTCCATGTGAGACACAGAACACAGTCCTGTAGTTCGGGGAACTTCAGTTTGGCCTGGTCACTCTGAACTGATCGGACGTGACGTCAGCACTCATTTTACCCAAACTCACCTCACAGAAGAGCACTGCTGCTGTGGACAACCTGACTTATTCATGGCTCTGCTTTAAAGTCGTAAAACTGACATTTATTGTCTCAAACTTACTCTGGTCTGAAAGAAGAAAACCACTTCATGAACTCTCTCTGGTCCAGTGGTCAAAACAATTATTTTCTTTTCAAAGTAAGTGAGAAAGATGTCAAATAATAATACACACCATTTTAATGGTGGAGAAAGGCTGGACTATAAAAGCAGCTCTGAATGTTTGGATTCTGCTTCTTATGGAATGTTAGGTTCTTCAGGGTTTTCAGCAAAACAATGCACGTCTTATACAAATTATATAATGTGTAAATATTCTTATTGCTACAACTCCAGTGTTAAAAAAACAGCTCTGGTTCTGATCTGGAAATCAATGCATTAACTCCTTATCTTGTCCCAATCAAAAACACAGGTTAAAGCTCTATCACACAAAGAACCTACAGTATATGTGAACACCATTCAGAACCGCTGAACCAAAATTCATTTAAAATAAACTGAGACAAAGTGGAGAACTGTTCAAGTAAGCTGGATCCATTTTATTTTATTTTTTTGGAAACCACAGTCACCATGCTGTCATCAGTGCACAGTTCAAAAACCTGCCTCTCTGATGGTATGGGGGTACATTAGTGCCACTGGCATCTAGAAAGACACTATAAATGCAGGAATACATCTACAGTTTTAGAACATCTGCTATCATTCAGTTAGGTTTGTTTTTTTTAGTTTCAGAAAGACATTATTGAACCTCAGACTGTGTCCATCACAGCAACATGACTTCATGGTAGACGGGTCCAGGTTCTGAACTGACTGCAGTCCAAGTCTCACAGCAACTGAAATCATTTGGCCATATACAAAACAAAAACCTCCATAAAGAAAACCAAGGACTGTTGGACGGCTGGAATCCTGGAGAAATTTTTAATAAAACATTTTTTTTTCCATTGGACGTACTGTATGCCAAGAACTGGTTAACCAAGTCAACCCAGTCATTCTAAATGGTCACCAGAGCTAATCAACTACACCAAACACACAAAAGTAGCCACAACTTTAATCTCTACAGATGTCGAGCTCAAATTAGTTCTGGTAGTAGCTGAGACTTCTCCCCAACTTATACTCCAAAAGCCAACTAATATTGTTCCAGGTCCTTGTTTCAAACTTAGACTTGCAAAGTGCTGGGTCCATATGCAGTCCTGAAAGGAATGCTACAGAAAATTATTAACTTTGTTCTTATTTTTGTTCTGTTGGAAGGAAACAAACAAAGCCCCTCACAGCTCAGACCACACCTCCTACAGAAAGGAGTCTCAGAAACAACAGAAATCTGTCCTTGCTTTGAGCCCTCATATTTAACATCTTATAAAAACGCAGCGAGTGCTGACGAACGATACGTTGTCCTAAATTATCCTGACCTGAGCAGGATCAGCAGAGGCTGCAGGTCACGGCTGACTTTGACCGTCACATTCTGAGCTGTGCTGAAGCCAGAGGAAAGAACAGAATTACTCCAACACGTCCTCTGTTTGGTGTGTGACTGTCCCTGCCGAGGGCAGAGGTCTGTGAGTCACTCCACCAGAGGTCCAGAACTGAGTCAGGCAAAGGTTTGCACCGGGCAGAAAAAAGTCACGTCTATTTAAGTCAAGGGTTGAAATTCAGGTACAGTCAGGTGGATGAGTATTTTCAGATGTAGTTTAGGATAATTGGTCTGAACTCACTTAAGGCAGTGTGTAGGATTTGTTGTTTTCAGCGACATCTAGTGGTTGAGTGGTTGAATCATCCTCCCTGGTCCTCCCCCCACCCCCACCCCCCGCTTCCAAACACAAAGCAGTTGCTACGGTGTCTCTCAGGTGTCAAAAACCTTTGATAATTCCACCCGCGATGTCTACCAGCAGCTTCAGGGCTAGTG